TAGATAGATAGATAGATAGATAGATAGATAGATAGATAGATAGATAGATAGATAGATAGATAGATAGATAGATAGATAGATAGATATAGATATAGATATAGATATATAGATATATAGATACATATAGATATAGATATAGATATAGATATATACATATATACATATACAGTATACACACACACATACATACACATATACAACATGTGTGTGTGTCTATATATGTGTGTGTATATATATATACACACACACACACACACACACACACATACACACACACACATATACAGTATATACAGTATATACATATATATAACTGTGCACATTGGGCTCAAGAATAGCCATGACTGTTACATTCTCCTCATACCTTGGTCCTTTTCTCTTGCAATTCGTTTTGCAGGAGGAGACTGTTTTTGTTTGCTAAACATTTCTTTCTAATTTACTGATGCACCAAGACATCTCATCCAACATAAGATATGACTGGTAAAACATCAGCATGACTGTATTGCATATACATTTACAACATATACTATCTTAGAAAAATAAATCACTAATAATATAGGCAGCAGTTAGCTTCTGCAAATGAATACAAAGAAGAAAAATATCTGTTACAAGGGGTCAGCTTCAGTTCTGAGTCACAGGAACTTCTATACATCTGTTTCTGCTCAGGTGGATGAAGCAGGAGATACCACAGTCATGCGCTTCCATCTGAGGAAGAGGTCGAGAGATGAGGAAATCTCCCTGTATCTAAGCCCACACAAATAAGGAGACAGAGCTTTGGGTAAAATGATGAGCACATTGCAGATGATCATAGAAACCCATATTCCTGTCTGTGGCCCAATGACAGCATTGACATAAAGCAAGGATTCCACCACAAAAGCCACCAGAGGGGAGAAATGAAAGAACAAGATAATGTGATGCATCAGGAATGTTACACTAGCTCTTGAAAAGACGCTTTTCCATATTCCTGATTGTTTTGTTTTGAAATACAGGACCATGTAACAACCGAGAATGAGAGACAGAAAGAGAAAAAGGACAGAGACTGAAAGTACGTAGCAACATTTCACTGCATGGTTTCCTTGCAAGATCATCACTAGTATTATTGGGACAGAGCAGCTTTCCACAGGGCATGCAGAAGGTTTCTGGGTGATCTTCAATATTAAGAAGACAGTCCCAGGAAAAATCCCAGATGAGATCCACAGAAACAGTATCAGCCTTTTTGTGCGCGAGGATGGCAAAATGGAGATATAATGTAAAGGCCACAAAATAGCCAGATATGTGTCTATAACCATTGCTGCAGCTGTGAACAACCCTCCACAATAAGTCATTGCCAGCAGAAACAACAGGATCACGCAAGCACCTTGAGAGAGTTTGAAGTCAGACATACTGAGAACTGCTGACATCGCGTAGAGTATCAGATATATCAAATCACAAAGCAAAGCATTTCCCAGCAACAAGTACCTTGTTTCCTGACGGATCTTGACATGAGAAAAAATCACAAACAAAATGGGAGGGATGATCAGGAGAGCTGCCGTAAGGCAAACAATTGGTGGAATCAGAAACATCTTTGTCTTGGAGTATGGAACGTAGATGATCTGTTCCTGCAGACCAAGAGAAGATGGATTATCCAGAGAGAAAGAACTATTGACTCCCAATATGCTGTACAGGAAGATCTCATTCGGAATCTCTTCTAGAACACATAAGGAGTAATTCATTTCTTCTAGAGGTTCACAATACCAGCAGAGGTAGGCAAAGCAGGTTCTTCAACAAGGAGCTTTTGCAAAAAGTAGTGACATGGTTTATAGCAGACCACCATCTCTAGACAGCTCTGAAACAGTATCTGCCACCATGGTTTCTAAGGAAACTCCAGAAGTAAATGTTGACATCCTCACAAATACTTTAAGATGAGTGGATTCCCTTCTCCTATGAAAAAAGTATCTCTGTGCAGAAAGAAGAAACACCTTTATATAGGACTGAATGTTCAAAGTCCAGAGCAAGCTGTTTGGAAAGAAAGAAGCGGGTTGCTTCCCGTTAAGAACTTGAGTTTTTTCTCATGGCATTGCTGTAGCAAAGTAACAGATGGAATATTAGCTTGATTAAACAGATGTGATGATATAAAAAGAGACATTCCAAATGTGCCAATGCAATCAAGTTGTAAATGGAGCCAGAGGATATGTCGGAGTGTTTAAAAGCAATAAGACATATACTGAATCAATTCACTAAGCAAGGACAGTGCTCTTAGCTCTTGAAACACAAGGACAGCATAATCCTTTTTATAGGTGATGCTTAGCAGACTGAAGATCCATTTCCAACTAATCTGAAAAGCTTCTAATGATTCATACACACACAAATGCATGCACACACATATATGTGTGTTTGCACACTCACATGCATGCACACACATATGTAACAGAAGCCCACATATGTGTATAACCTGCTGTGAGCAGCAAAAATAAGTTGGATTCAAACTAAGGTTTAAAATTTAGCCTGCACTCACAAGTCTAATGTACTTTGCAAGTTCTTCACATATTTAACATATTTTAAGTTTTAAAAATTGGGAAAATTGAGTTTGCAATAATCCTAGATACAGTGGGGTCTCTACTTAAGAACTTAATCCGTATTGGAAGGTGGTTCTCAAGTGGAAAAGTTCTTATGTAGAATCTGCATTTCCCATAGGAATGCATTGAAAAACCATTTAATCCCTATCTGCTCTTTTCCGTCCATAGAAACTAATGGGAAGCTGCTATTCCGCCTTCTACCACTAGAGGGGGATTTTTTTCTTTTCTTTTCCCTTAGGTCAGGGAACAGTGTTAAAAGCACTTCTGACGAAGCTAATTTTGAAGCAATGGACTGAAAAGCAATTAATCCGTTCTGGCTGTTTTTTTTATGTAGAGGTGCGTTCGTACATTGAAGCATTAGTTCCCATAGGAACTAATGCAAAGCTGGTTAATACTTACTCTACCACTAGGGGAGAACTTTTTTTTAACCTAAGATGACCTAAGGTTAAAAAAAGAGCAGGAAAGTTTTTTTTTCCTGTTCTTATCTGGATTTTTGTTCTCAAGTAGAAGCAAAATTTAGCAAATGGAGCTGTTCTTAAGTGGAATTGTTCTTAAGTAGGGACGTTCTTAACTTCAGGTATTTTTAACATGCAACAACATATGTCCACAATTTTGTAAGCCACCTAGAGTGGTCGCAACGACCAGATAGGCGGGATATAAATAGAATAAAAAAATTTCTTAACATTTTGATATACCAAGGTAGGTGGAGTGAGGAAAGCGAGGGGAAAAGTCTCCGAGTTCCAAAAAATGGAAAGACCCTCTATTTTACACCATGTGGGCCATTGTTTGAAGGGGAACTCATGTGGCCAATTCAGGGTTGAAGTGCTGCTCTGTGGGTAGCTGATGGGCCCTTCTTCTTCCAAGTTTCATCCTGACTTGGTCTTCATAGTCATTTGCTATTATTGGAATCAGGCAGCTGTTATGCATAAGCAGATAAAATGCTTTCTATGTAGTTTTCAGATTTCCCTTGTGAATTACTGGTTTTGAGAGATAACTCTAATTCTCCTGAGCTATTGTCATAGTTTTTGATTCATTGAACAAAATCTTCCTGCTTACACCAAGTCTGAGAAATGCATTATTTGTCTCAAATGCAGTTTGAGGCTTCATGAACAGCCATTCAACTGTCACTCCAAATGTCACTGCAGCTTAAAAATTCCATCCCCTCAGACCATCCCCTTCAGTAGAATCCAAAATAGATTGCTGTTCTATATAAATTACATGGGAATAAGTCTTTTGGACTCAACAGGGCTAACTTCTGAATAGACACGTACATTGCACTGCTAGTTAGTCAGTGTCTTAGTTAATTGTTTAGGCTCCACAATCCACATACTGCTTTCTTGGATATTGTAGCTGTCCATGTAGTGCCATAGATAAAATATTCTGTTTTCATATCTATGAGGATTCTCAGTCATCCAGGTGAGGTTTTCTGAAAGCTGAGTCATAGTAACTGGGCTTCTTTCTTATTAGGTTGAAACATTTCACTCCTCATCCAAATTGTTCAGTCTGAAGAAGCTCCATGGATGAATAGAGAAACATTTCAAACTAATAAGAAAGAAGTCCAGTTGCCATGACTTGACTTCCAGATAATTCTGTTCTCATGTTCCCCAAACTATTTGGATAAGTTCTGTTTTCTGTCATGTTGGAACAAGCAGGCATGTTTTGCTTGATTAGGTAAAAGGTAAAGGTAAAGTCGGTCCAGTCATGTCCGACTCTAGGGCGCGATGCTCATCCCCGTTCCAAGCCATAGAGCCAGCGTTTGTCCAAAGACAGTTTCGGTGGTGACGTGGCCAGCGCGACTAGACACGGAACACCATTACCTTCCCACCGTGTTGGTACCTATTTATTTACTCGCATTTACATGCCTTTGAACTGCTAGGTTGGCGGGAGCTGGGACAAGTGACGGGAGCTCACTCCGTTGCATGGATTCAATCATACGACTGCTGGTCTTCTGACCCTGCAGCACCAGAGGCTTCTGTGGTTTAACCCGCAGCACCACCAAGTCCCACTTGATTAGGTAGATAAAAACAAATATGGAAAGTTGGGGAGGTGAAAAAATAAATTCATCAAAGCATTGGTATAAAAGTATTTTGTAATATAGACAGCTGTCAGTCAATGCCAATTAGGAAAGTTCTAAGAGAAAGTTGAACTTAGATTATATTATGTGATCCCAAGTAGTTAATCTCTTAGGCTACTGAGAGTAATTTGTGCTTAATACAGAAAAACAGGAAGAAAAGTAAATTAATGTCTGTTGTTTCTACTCTTCAGGGTAAGCTAAGAGTGGGGCTGACTGATACTGACTGCTCAAATGCTAGCTAACACTTGTAGTTATGAGCAGAGCGGGGCGGGGGAGAGAGAGAATCATAATAGGGCAGTGCTTACACTGCTCTGAGTAAACAGAAGTCAAATTTCTGAAATCATTGATTGTACTTCAGGAGATACAGCAGAGGGCAGGGCAATAAATCTGACAGTCTATACTGTTGTAGGATGTGATGAAAGGCACAAGAGTAGTTGTGATACAGTTCAGAATTTGTGTAAAACAAATCAGGGAAACTAACATAGATCATGCTGCTTTTTGCTAGATGGATTAATCTGAAATGATTACCGTTCAGCAGTTCTGCTTTCACAAATGCCATTTCAGTTTTCTGCTCCACAAACAAACATGCATATAAAGAGCAACTTCAAGACTGCTGGCTTGTACAGATTGCATCCCAACTGTTGCTTGCTTAGTGTAAGACAGCCAGGTCATCTGTTTGTGTTTTCCCTATTTGGCTACCCGGTACCTGTTGTGTCAGTTGCTCTGTACTGTGATATGGTTATCTGCAAAATGTGAAATGGAGCATGGAGATGAACGTAGGGTAGAAATTCATATTCTGCTATAAACTTTGCCAGCTCTTTCAGCAGATCCCTTTAATCTCATTCAACTGGAATGTTCTGAAGCATGTGCAACATTTAAGTATGGAATAGCTGAGAAAAGCTAAAAAGATTGGTGATACAGAAGAACAGCAGCTTGTATCCCCTCAGGTATTGTTGGACTATAATTTTGCTTATCTCTCAACATGAGCTGGCCAGGAATGATGGAAGTTGTGTCTAGAGGACTAGGTAAAGGTAAAGGTAAAGTTTGCCCTTGACATTTAGTCCAGTTGTGTCCGACTCTAGGACGTGGTGCTCATCTCCGTTTCCAAGCCATAGAATGAGTGTTTTGTCTGAAGACAGTTTCCGTGGTGATGTGGCCAGCATGACTAGACACAGAATGCTGTTACCTTCCCACCATGGTGGTACCTATTTATCTACTCAATTTATTTACATGCTTTCGAACTGCTAGGTCAGCAGGACAAGTGACAGGATCTCACTCTGTCACGTGGATTTGATCTTACAACTGCTTGGTCCTCTGACCTTGCAGCACAGAGGCTTCTGTGGTTTAACCCGCAGCGCCACCACGTCCCTGTCTAGAGGACCACTCCATGTCTATTCCTGCTGCCAAGGAGATTGGTAGTCTTTCGGCAGAGTTTTGATGGTCCCCAGCCTTAGCAGGCCTCAGAAGAAAAGTCTAAGAAGAACAGCCTCTTAGGTTGCAAAAATGATGGGTTTACGTGTGAGATTGCTAACCTGAGACATTTAAGCGGGTTTTAGTTGTCTGAACCAGGGGTGAAATTTCAATGATGCTTCCTTTCAAATAAATTTGACAAATGTGTTGCTTTTTCTTTTCTTTTTTGGCTTGGTGCTGTCAAAAACATGTGGCGCAATGCAAATTCAAGTCAGCCAAAACATGAAAGACTAAAAAAGCCACTTTATTTGCTGAGTCTTCAGAAACAATCCAACTATATAAAGCACTGTCAGTTGATCATTTTTGAAAGTTTATCTGATAATATAATACTAAAAGATAAAATATTTTCCACAGTCTGTTGAAACACTTTAATAAGAATTATCGTTCATTTTAAAAATTACAATTGTTAGTGTTGTGGAAGAACTAAGAATAGATTTCTCATATCACCATCTTGAGATGTTAATGCTATCAGTAGATTCCTTCCTTCCTTCCTTCCTTCCTTCCTTCCTTCCGGTTATCAGTTGTCAGTTGCTTCAATGGTCTGAAAGTTTTCAGGTCATGTATCATAGTTGCCAAAATCAGTTTCAGAAATGTATACAATGTTGTAAAATCAGAAAAATGTTTAATCCATCAGATTCATGAAAGTTTTTAGTGAGTTTACTGCTTCATCACTATCTTAACATGGTTATGTGAATCCATCATAAAGCTTATGATGATGTGCTGATCACAAGGAGATTTAACATTGTGATGTACTAGCCAATTTAAAGATTGCCTCAGGAAACACAGCTTACAAAAATGGGTTGTTGACCAATATGTGAACGATCAGGCACAGAGATAATAGACAAATTAAAGTATTCTATTTTGCTTAAATAATTCAGAAGTGACCCACTTACTGTGTTAGCTGGAAGCTAAATGACTTTATCATATATTCTCCAGAATCCAGTTAATTGCAGTAATATAAAGTAATGCAGGTTTAACTTTGTCAGGTATTATGACCAGATAATACAAACTGTATAATTCAATTGTGTAATAGACTGCGTGTAGCTAATCATGTTGAGAAGAGATTGCAGATGAAACAGGCAATACAACTGGAGGTTTCTGAATAACTACCATCAACTATATTCCTCACTATTGTCTTTTCTTAAATGAAGTTAAACTCTAAACAGTGTCTAATGTACCATTTGAATGATCACTCTGGCTTTTCAAACAAGCTGTTCCATGGTTGACAGTTGGCTGATCTTTTCCAAGAAATCTTATCATCAGTCAAGACATATTTGGAAGCAAGACCACAAGACATTGTATGTGTATTTTCTTCTACAAGGGTTTTAGCCTTTGTAACATGGACATTACATGGATAATCATATAATCTATTCCAGCAAAAGAAGTGGATGCCACTTTTTTTTGTTGCTTTAAGCTTTTCTGAGTATTGTCAGTATGAGATGCCCCTGTTCTTACAGAGCAAAATATGTTTTTTCCTGATGAATTGATATGTTAGTGGTCCACTGTGATTATCCCCTATTTCCTGAACAAGAACAAAAGCAATGATCCCCAAATGTGCATCTAAAATCTAGTTAAGATGAAAAAGCAAATCTAAGCATGATATGTTTTGGTGTTATATGTCAGCTTCAGGGATTTTGAGGAGTTCTCTCTTTTTTGTTATAATTCTTTCTAAATTGGAAACATTTTAAAGCTTCTCTTCAAGTCCCCCCCCCTTTTGGACACCCACTTGCAAAAGTGCTTGTCCCTTGTAGAAGAGTAGTTTGTACTTGACCAGACTTAGATGTCCCCTATCATTGGTGCTGCTTGACAGCTTTAGGGCCTTTTTAGTGGTTGGGGACAGAGAAGAGAGAAACAGAAGTAGTTCAAGTACAGTTCTAATAGATGATACCGGTACAGAGACTGGCTAGACTGGTTTCTTTTGTTCTATGGAAAGCTTCGTAGATATGAGAGAACAATTGGATGATTGGAGCAGAGGAAAGAGAGAAAACAATTCTAATTGAGGACTATCAGCATGTAGTCATGTGGACTGCAAGGAAGAAGATAACAGCTGAGCAGCTGTTTCTGTGCCTCAGTGAAAGTGGAAGTTTAATGCAGAGGAAGGGATAAAAATGGAAGATCTTAGCCATGGACTGGGGAAGAAATAACAAAATGGAGGACTGAAGCCTGTGTGTGAGAGAAAGGGCATCATGTATATACTGTACAGGTCACAAATTTTATGTAGAGGTGAATTGAGGAAATCAATTGCTTTCTGTGAAATGGATAGTATGTCAGTGCAAAAGACTGTGGGTTAATAGGAGTAGCTTTTTGTTTTGTGTCAAATGTATCCCACTTCTGTCTTTTATTATATTCTAGTTGTCTTTCAGGATATCCAGCAGACAGAGTGATGGACTACGAGAGCAGTGATCAAATCCCTGTTTGGCTATGGAACTGGTAAAATCACTTCTTAAATACCTGACTTACCTTGAAAGCCCTATTAGGGTCACTATATATTGGTTCTGACTTGATGGCATGTAACAAGTTGACTTTTAGCCTCTGTTTGTCTTGTATGAAATTGATGCTTCATTGTAGCAGTAAATATTAGGAGTATTCACACTGCATGATGTCCCTTGCCTTGCCTATTGCACACATTCAAAATTTCAAATGAACCAATGGACCCCGAAAAGTTATTAACTTATAATATTTACTAATTATTATAGCCCAAAATCCTATTGTTGGTTTATGGATTTTTGTATAATTAACAAGATACTGGTCATACCTGACTTAACATAACCCTCATACTACTGAGTGTACAACCAGAATCTGATCAGTACCTTGTTAATTAGCAATAATTTGCCAGTACCATTTATGTGATTTCATTTATGTATGCCTAAGTTGTGGCTAGGATTCTAGTCATAGAATTCGTCCATCCATCCACTTCATAATTAAAACACACCCTTCATTTCTGGAAATATAAAGCCCCAGTACAAATTCAGAAGTGTTCCCATCTTGGAACCAATCAGGAGCAAACATTTCTGCTTTTCCAGCTCCTTGTATGCTTTGGGTCTAAAGCAGATAAAACATTAACACTCTCATTGGATAGAACTTCATTTGCATGGCTACAGATATTTCCTCCCTTGTTACATCTGAGGATAGCATGCAAGTAATATAACATTAAGAACAGATCCTCTTTGTTGTTTTTCTCTTCCCCTTTGCATGCACTATTTATACAATCTAGGTAAATACTAAAATGTCTTTAGTTATTTATTTTCAAATCTTCCAAATTACAAGAAGTCACAAAACAGGCTTCTCTCTCTATTGTATCTCATTCCATTCCTGCAAAACAAACAAACAAACAAACAAACAAACAAACAAACAAACGAAAAGGTCATGTATTCGCAAACGCGAAGGTCATGGTTCAGTAAAGCTTAGTGCATGTTGGATCATGACCTATGCTGACACCCAACAGTATCAGTTCACGTAGCATCTGTCTTTGAAGAGCAGAGATAAACAAAAGGGATACATTTATGAATATTTCAAAATCTGTTCTTTGCAGAGAATAACAAGAATTGTGGACACTTCAGTATGGATGCAAGCAGTTGGTGTTTATCAGCTACAAAGCAGATTGCTGGAAGAGACCTCTGTTCTAAAATTGGCTACACAGAAAAACTTGAAGTCAGCGCTGGGGATGCTATCGAATACCTGGGAAGACTGACAGGCTGGGAAGAGGAGGAGGAAGAGGAGGGAGGGAGAGAAGGGGGGGAGCAGGAGGAGGAGCAAAGCAGCAAAGAGAAGAAATCAGCCCCTCAAATGCATTACATGAGCTGCTGAATAAAGACACTCAGCAGCATCAGCAACAAGAATATAACAGCAAGGATTTTCATGACTGGTGTGATAAGATATGGTGAGTAGAATATTTTTGTTCCTCATCTGGGTCTTAGATTTTGGTGCAAGGGTGTGGTTGTGTTTGTTTCTCTTTGTCCCGCCGCCACCTTCTACATGCTTATTTTGAGCTTTTTGCTGGTCTTGGTTCCTGTTACATATGTTGAACCTCCATGTGCACATTCATTCTTTGTGCAGGCATTGGACTGCAAGGTGATGAAATCTGGCAATAAGAAAGCTTTGTGGGCTGCTATAGCAAACTGCCAAATAGAGGCAGCAATAACATGCTGATTTCCTCTCAGGTACACAGCAAAGATTATTGCAATTTGGGGAGGGGGGCTCTTTTCCCTCTGGGGTTAGCCTAGTAATTAGGTAGCTGCTGTACTGGATGCCATGCAGTTGTTCCATAACGTATGGAAGAAATAAAAATAAACAACCCTCCCAGCTTGAGGCACTGAGCAAAAGGGAGAGGTAGCAGACCTGTGCCAACTCATAATGTAGAATTTGGACATTTAAAAAATCTGGCTGTGAAGCAAATTATTTTCCCACGTTCCTGTGTGCAGCTCTCTCCCAGTCATCCAGTTACGCATTGACTGTGAATGACTAATTTCTGGAACTCATCCTCAGATGGAGGGTCAGGAGAAAGGGGCAAGGAGCTATCCATTGTGCTGATGATCACAACCATGTTTTTAAAGATGAAGGGGGAACTATTGATATGTCCATTATTGCTTATGTAAATTCATTTGCACAGACAAAATCGATGGCCTTTTCGAATAATGGGAGGACCCTCATTTAAATGAACAGTTGGTTTTCCATAATTTGGGACTTCTGCTTTATATGTTATTGTAAAACTTAAGTATCGATGCATAGATATGTTTGAAATATAACAAGATAAAGTCAAAGGTTCAGAAGATCCTATTTTTTTCCTTGAGCATATTAATTCTGAAAATAATCTAATGGAGAATTGCATATTTTGGCCTATCCTTGACAGAAATCAGGGACTGACCTGAAACAATATTCAAATGGGATTTCTATTTTACCTCAAAGAGGCAATCATAAAAAGTGCTGATAGAACAAAAAGAAAATAGTGGTGCCAGAAAATACTATGTATTTTCTCTAAGAGTGTTGTCTACTTGTGTTTTTTAAAGAAACACACACACTGTTCCCATCTGACAAGCCAAGACTCTTTGTATCAGCCCTTTCTCATTTTTTTCTTTCAAAATGGGAGTTGAAAGGCTATTATTAGAGCAATCAGTTAACAGTGAGAAGATCAGCAGTTACTGACAAGCACCCTTGCATCCTGCTCTGAAGAAGCAGGACTGGTATAATTACTTAAATTGGCCATATGCCTTACTTTTGTGGGCTGGTACAGCAAAGTGCCAAATATGTACAATTATAAAACTGCATAACAAAAAAGTATTATTCCAAAAAACATTCTGGAAAGGAATGATTTTTTTTAAAAAATAGAAAATTTAAATATGCAAATACACTTAAAGTATTCCTCAATTATTTCAAATAAATATCAAGTCTTTTTCTTCTCAGATAAAACCTCCCACAAACATAACAATAGCAAATAAGTAAATAAATAAATAATGAAACAGAAGAGAACAAAATACAAAAATGTTAACAATTTAAAGATTTTAAAATATAGAAGTAAGAACAACTGTATACTGTACACTAGCAAGAACTACATTGTACATCCTTTATTAAAATGTATGTATAGCACACTATGTAAATGTTGATGATTAAATCTTTTAATTAAATAGTGACACAGACCAATGTCCAATTTAAGATGAGACTTCAGAAAAAGACATTTCAGCTACAGTAATGGTGTTTGGCAGTTCAGCCTGTTGACTATTTTTTATTCTTATGTATATCTAACCATGGAAAATGAAAGCAAATGTTTAAAAATAAGAGGTAAAACAGTCCCTTGCATAGCAAGATCAAAATCCCATGATGGTTCTCAACATGATCATTTAATTCAAATAATTTAAATATTATTTGGCACATAAATGAAGCAAATATTATTCAAAGGTGTTCATTTGTTTGTTTGTTTTTGTGATTTAAACTAAATCAAGTGTTTTTGAAAAGGTAATAGCCACATCTGTGGGACTTACCAATTCCTTCCTAATACTGCCAACCCACTATGAGCATCTTGATTGAGTATCAGAAAAATATATGAAGAGACATTCTCCAATGAGTATGGGCCAGTATCTGCCCCTCCACTTCCTGTCACTTTAGCTGTGTGTGTGGGAAACACAGGAAGTTGATTGAGCCAAGATATGTTTTTCTGCCTTAGTTAAACCTATCAAACTGAAGCCCTTTGCATGTTGACACATGCAGATTTGGTGTAACAAAGATTTTTTGATGGGGGATTTCTCCTTCAGATGTGTGTGGGTAAGTACTAAGTTTCACCCTGCTGTTTTAATTGTAGCTCCAGAGGTGAAGACATAACATGGAGTTTAAAAGAGGAAAAACGTTCATAAAATCTAGCATGCAGTTGACCCAGGACAAGTTACCTTTAGTGGGTTTGAGTCCTAGAGAGAAGACTAATATAGGAGCAATCATAAAAGACAGAAGCCCTCCTGAAATTGAAACCTCCAAAGCAAGTTCTCCTACAGATAAAAGTGACAGCATTTCCAACACAACAACAAAGACTGGATCTAATGAGAGCATCCTATTGCTCCCAGAATCCTTCTACAAACCTGTTCGGAAAAGTAAAACCCATGACTGTGTTCTAGGAGCTGTAAGCAAAACTGAACAATGCAGCCTCCATAACAACAGCTCTGAGGAGGGCAGTGCTGCTCCTGGAAGAATGAAAGGACGACTCATCAACAGTGCCAGCTTTTCTGGGCTTGGGAATGTCCAGAATTCAAGTGGCAAAAAGGAATTGGTGGTCAACTCAAGCCATTTCTTGAACAGCCCACAGCAGATGATTGATTACCGCAACTTTGTGCCACAGATGCCCTTTGTGCCAGCTGTTGCCAAAAGTATCCCTAGAAAGAGGATTTCTCTGAAGCGATCCAAAAAAGGTCTTCGGGACATATTTCATATTAAAAAAAACAAGCCGGAGAGCCTTGCTATATTGTCAGAGAAGCAAAAAAGGCTTCCATTTCCAGGGTGCAAGTCAGAATTGGCAGGCAAGTTTGGTAAATATTTCTTCAAAGCTGGAGAAACCTTCAATGCTGACTGCTTGGCACAAGACTTTTCTGATGGTGAGTTTCTGTCCGAATCCTCCTATGAGTACTCCGGTGCTCTGTGTGAAGATGTTGCCTCCCTGAAAAGTTTTGATTCCCTCACTGGATGTGGAGAGATCTTTGCCGATGAGAGCTCTGCCCATATGGAGCTGGAGGTTAGCAAAGAAATCTTATTGAGGCAGTCTCAAAAAAAGGAGAACCCTGCCATGGGATCTTTTCAAGGTGGAGTGGAACAGCTTGCCTCCCCAGCCCAAAGTGAAGCAGCAGACTTTGCAAAACTTTGGGATAATATCAACAAGTCAGTGCAATTGCATCAGAAAACATTGTTTGATAGGAGGCTATTGAAAATACCTACGGGTGAGCTGGGAAAAGCTAGAAGTGAAACAAGTGCCTCAGTAACAGACCTGCTTTCTTCCCCTGACTCGTCTAAAGAGAGTTCCATAGACACTGGGACCCCAAAGAGTGATAATCAAGAATCCATGTCCACCAGTGATGAAGGGTACTACGATTCATTTTCTCCTGGCCAAGATGATGAATTAAGGGAAGATCAATCCCCTGGAGTACCAGGGAGATTTCCAAGAGACAGCTACAGTGGAGATGCCCTTTATGAGCTATTCTGTGATCCTAACGAAGCTCAAACCAGCCCAGTACTAGATGATGACTTGTGCATGTCTGAAAGCATTTCAGAAAAGGCCACAGATATACCTTTGTCAATTTATAGCTTTCACGTTGGGTCAGAAGAAAAAATGGCTTCCCAGCCAGCCGTTGACATCATCAGCCAGGGTTTCCTTCATAGCACGTGGAAAGGCAAAGAGTGCTTGCTTAAGCTTTGTGACACAGAGCTGTCTCTGACCATGGGGATTATCAACTGGTTGCGGAATAATCCAGGACTTATTTCCCCCCAGGATCTCCCAAAGAATCCTCAGCCACAGTTGAAAAAAGTCGGGCAACCAGTATCCTCAAGTCCTAGCAACACACATCAGAAGATGTACAAAGCAGGTCTGGAGGAAAATAAAAACGAGTCAGAGACATCTTTGGTCAACATAAACAATGGAATCCAGACATACTCTGTAGAGGGAAATGAAAAAAGCCAAAGTGATATTCTTTCATATAGCTCACCTCAGGAAAGTTCTCAAGAAAGGGGAGGAACTCTGAGTGGAATGTCTACCTTCATAACAGACAATAGCATATCATGTAGCACACAGAGATCAGAGGAAAGTTGGGATGATCTGCTGAGTTCATCTGAAATTGAGAAGATCTCTCTCTTAGAAGAATGCACCGATCCTGCCACTGAAGCATTGTCATTGGAAGTCCTAAATCTGGACACAATTTGCCAAACCAATGAGAATGCTTTGGTAACAGATAACCACGATGCAGAGTCATGTTCCTCTTACATGACTGCTGCGACCTCTCCAGATTCTTTAGAGAATGGAGAATTAGAGAATAGAGAAAATGAGTCGAAGGATCAGTCCTGGCCAATTGAATGTGATAGGCCAACAGAGCCACTGACGTTCAGTCATTCCCAAAGCTGCATCAGCCAGACTCCAAAGGAGGATGGCACTGACATAATGCAGCTTTTGGAACATTGTGTCAACCAGGTTGCTTCCCTAAAGATCAACTGTGATTCTGAAAAGAAAGACTTGGATGATAAATGCACTGGAAGTGAAGTGAGCCATCACAGTGACACCTTGGCTCAGTTTGAACAGCAACTGCTGTTGCAAAATGAATGTAGCTGTGTAACTCCTCTGGTACATATTTCAGACGAAGGTAATATTAAGGCAAATGTTGGATATAATGTCCCATCTCTCATGAATCTTGGGGGAGATCTCATTTATGTTGCAGATCAGAAAAACTCAACCATCCTTGACTGTATGGGCCCAGTTGCAAAAAATAAATTAAGCTTTGAATATGCCCAGCTGAATAATCAAGCCCTGTCCTATATCAAAGATTTCAGATTTGAACACTGTACTCAAAATTCTACTGACATGACAAAAATTTGCAGACCCACATTTTTACCACTGTTAAGTTCCATTTGTTCAGACACAGGTGGTGGCTTTTCACAGTCTTTCTGCAGAAGAGGTGGTTCAATGGAAAAGCTTTCAGAAGATCAAAAGGGTGGCACACCTTCGTGTACTTATCCAAAATTCCCATGTAAGCTACTGCCCCAAGTAGCCACTCTTCCACTTTCAGAGGATGCAACCAAAGAGAAAGCAGTGGTGGAGAAGAACCATGAAATAGCTTTCTGATGTAAGGTAAGTTTCTGAAGGCAAATCAGAATCATATCTGAGGTAATCTGCAGAAAATTTCTTATAGATTTCTTCTTCATTCTTCACCCTTTAAGTTAATACTTCAGTTTTGTGCCTGCTTGTCCATCCTGTCAAAAATGTAAAATTCAGCAAAGTTGAAGTAGAACAAAGTTGGGGAAAGTCTGTGGCCTTTCAGATATTATTACACAACAGGTCCCAACATCCAAGACTATTGGCCAATGGCTGTGGTGACTGGGGAGTTGCAGTTTGAAACCATCTGGAGAGGCAGATGTTTCTTGGCCTGAGATCAGAGCAATCAGTCTCTGGTTACAAGGATCTGTGGAAACAGAAATCATGAAGTAGACTTGTTAGCAAAATCATATAAAATTAGTCTACAAATGAAGATGGGTGAGGCTGAAGGCCCACACATTTTTTAATGCAAGAAACCAATAATAGAACATTCCCTTGCCAAGACATGTGGAAGAGATTTGTTATTTGCCACAGGTGAGATGATGCAAAGCCGTATACACATTATGTCAGAGCATGTGAAAATTACTTTTTTCTATGGTAGATCCCACAATCCTCTATTGTCGAGAATTCTGGGAATTGCACTAAAAACAGTAACTTTTTACAAGCTCTGAATATGTGCTGATATCAATGTAGCTATATTTGTAAGAAGAATGCTGAATCCAGTATACCTCTGAGTCTGGAGACATCTGAAAATAAATATATATAATTTCTGCTACAGAAATGGAACATTACAGGTATGATAAGTTCATTGCAGACTGCAGTTTACAAAGTAAAATGCTCCTTATTTTAAGCATAGTAAATGTATATAATGAATAGTGTATGCTCTAGACGTCTTAGTAACATTCCATCTAATAATATAGATCCATGGTGAAGTGGTGGGGGTAGTGATGGGGAAAGAGCTGTTGTGATCCCATGTACTGTTTATGGCTTTAATTGTTGGGACATTTTCACTGTTCTCATTAGAGTATGTGACTCCTGTAGGTTTGCAGTCTAATGGGCCCAAATATGTACATGCTATTCAGATGGACCAGAAAGGGAACTGCCTCTTCAATATCTGCCCAACTAGTTCTTCTCCCCGCATTTCCAGGCCAGCTGGTGACACTGGAGAGCAGGCATAGAGGATGGATCATGCCCTCTGTGCTGTCATGCCTACTGTCAGAATAGCTCTCTGCACAGCAGAGGCCTCTGTCGGTCTCTGCCTGAAACCCAACGGAGCCTAGATCAATCAGAATGGACAAAAGGTAGTTAGATGGACAGGTTGCTGGCTTTGGTGAAAGGCAGTTTCTTATGCCCTGTTGAGAAGTAACAGAACAAACATGCCAAGAATAGGATTGTGGCAGCTTTGCACTCCATGCATGTTTCCTGTGCAAAGAGTGGTATTCTGAAGAGAAGAATCTCTATGAATTGAGAGGGCTTCATATATCTGTGAAGGTCCGCTAGTCTTTACCTCCCCCGAACCAAATAAACCAGGAGACGCTTTATGATCAAACAACTTGTCTTCTTTTATTAACTGGGGAATGGGTATAGAATCATCCAGTAGATGGGGAACAAACTTCTCCTGCATGAGCAGCGGCTCTGACAGGGGCAACCAGTCTTCTACAAATGGGTTACTTGACTTCGAAGCCCATGGACCAGCCTGAACCTGTGAGGGTTCTCCGGGTCTGAAGTCATCTGGATCACGCATCAGTAACAGAGTGATCTCTTCATCCCCTGCATATCCCCAGGGAACATATCTCCCATCAACCAGGGATTCCCAGGGTCCAGGTAGCACCCCATCTTTCTCAGTTCTTCCATATGCCATGCTTTCTTCTCCTCTCTTTCTTTCTCTCCTCTCTCCTTTGCCTCCCTCAACTTACGCCTCCACTCACGGGTCTTGGTTTCTCCCCAGTATGACGGGCGTGGGGGCATTCCCCTCTTTCTCCTTTCCTCAGCCTCCTTCTTAGGGATCCGGACCCGCTCCCAGTTACTGGTCCATGGGTCCTGCATAGGCACCCATTCCCATCAACCCGGGATTACATCTCTCGGTGTACTGACCCACTCCCCTACTGCTGCCTCCTCAGGCTCCCTCCTCTCTCCTCCTTTTCCCATCCAAACTGGAGGTGTCTGGGTAGCCATGGATAACCCTTTCATGCCCAGTTCTAAGTCCAAAGTATCCACAGCTTGGTGAATCAATCTGGGTGGAAAAGGTGGAGGAGCTGTTTGCGTGCCTACATTCGCCTTGGGGCGAAACGGCACTCACAACAACACTTCTCGACCCGGGGTGCGGGCTCCACAATATCATCTGGAAATTCTCCAGGGATAGGAGGTGTTCTCCCTTCTCTCCCATTCTCTATGTGCAGATGGTGGCAGAAAGGTTCGGGAAGATGCGTAGAGCTGGCACACTCCTCTCTTTGTGTTTTTGTGTTACAGCACAATGCCTGACTAGGACTTACTGCTCCTGTAATTCTGGACAGTTAGGAATCTAGCTGCAAAGAGATCCTGGGAGTGATTATGTTTCTGATGGCCTTCACAAGCCCTGAACTGGAACAAGACTAGTGCTGAGATGTGGACATATAGGGAACACTTTGTTTTTCTGGGCCGATGTTACTTTCTGTTAGATGCAGAAAAGTAGAAATACAGCAGATGCAACTGTCAGAAGTGGTAATGTGTCCAACCGTCGTGCTTTATGAGATGAACTGCAAACCGACATTCTTGAACTTGGGGCATTTTCTAATACAGTATATCATTTCACTAGCAGCTGTAGTGTGCCATCAGTTGTTAGTGTAGACACCTGCCAAACCAGAGACATCTCCCTGTTCATATGTTATAGTTAATGTTCCCCCAAAGGGATGGATTTTGGTTTCTGAGGCAAAAAAGAGTGGTTACTTTGAAAATCATTTTAATTATGTACTAGACTGTGGTTCTTGTAACTCTGGAACATTGGCATTTTGACTGAATTTGACATGTACATTTAGCCCACACAAGCTCATCTTATCATAGACCATATTTCCAAAGTCACTTCATATGTTATTTTCCCACTACGTAAATGGAGCTGTTTCTGTTTCAAAATAGAAGTGAAGATGTTTTCCCCTGCATGTGCGCAAATCAGGAATTTTGTACATGCTGCAGTTTCCCTGTTTTACTCGCCATAGAATATGCAGAAAACTCATTGCAATGACTATTATATGTCACAAAATACCCTTTCTGACTGAGTCTGGAAAAGTTATTCTTTAAACTACAATTCTCAGAAGTGTCCAGACAGCATAGCTATTTGAATCTGAGCACTGTAGTCCAAAAATGCAGCTTTTCCAAGGTTTTTTTTTTGGGGGGGGGAGCAGGGAGGGCTAGGAAAAACACCTGACAAAATGCTACTTTCTTTCTCTAACCTCATTTTTTTCTGTTCCCAAACTCTGGCAACATGGTTTCCTTTGTTATGCATGATTCTGGAAGAAGACATGCAAGGGAACGTGTTGTTCACATTCTAGTGATAATTCTGTGTCTCTCCTTTTCACGGTTACAACTTTTTGATACTCAAGAGAGCACTTCTTCTAGAACCATGTGTCTCTGTGTTTTGGCCTTGAGTTGGCCTGGCAGTTACAAGAAGCTGCTAATTTATTTGAGTGGTGATTTTGCTGAAGCACATTACAGAATATTCTCCGAAAACAACAGATACAGCCAGGGGTTTTATGAGTCCACTGCCATATATCTGTGCAATAACTAATTTTTTCCTGAGCTCTGTTGATTACAAAAGAAAAGGATGATAGCAGATTCCACCTGTCCAAAAGATGGCAAGAGTTGCTTATGTACTATTAACTGTTCATTCACTGCCTCTTGTTGATTTAAACCTAGTCCTTTTAAACAGCTGGCAGGAAAGCCAGTAGGAAGTGGGACAAAGGCAAAACTTAGTGAGCTAATATCAGGCAAAATACAAAGAAACAAAACAAAACAAAACATGTAAGACCTTAAAGATTAACTATTATATTTTAATGTGAGCTTTTGTGGACAAGTGGTTTTTACCTGATGTGCTTGCACAGTCCAACATGGCTACCTCTACTAAACTACAACTATGAAAATTAGTGAGATAAGAACTGGAGCTGTTCTTGCCATCAAGACAGAAAGAATCTCATGGTCAAAATGAGGTCACCGTTTCTTAAAACAGCAAATATTCTTATGCTTCTTCCTGGGCCTTCATCATATGTAACTATTGCGTTAGCATGGTGAAGCAGTCTGACTGGATTTTGTATTTTCCAGAAAGGAGTGGGAGACAGCTGGGTTGGGGGTAGACAAAGACAAAGAGAGAAGGCTGATATATTGTGGTTAAGGCTTTTAAAGATGGTATCCTTATATGGCCCCATTTTTTTCCTCTTTCCTATGTGCTATAAGAACTTATCAAACATATTTCAGTTTCTGAAATTATCTCCTCAAATTTTGAGACTCACCTATATTTCACTCGGGGGTTTACAGCTAAGTAGTATGATTTAGGGTTGCCAAATGATCAGGGGGAAATGGCTAGACATACTCTTATGCTTTTAAAACAGCTTGTTTGGTAGGAACAAATAGACAAAGCTGTTTGGTGCAGAGCCTTATCACTTGTTAATGCCTCAGATCAAGCTACTGTTAAAGGCAGAGGAAGAAAACTCAGTAAGAAAACATGTTGAAATGATTTCTGATGGAGAATATTTCATTAATTTATTTTTATATTGTATGTAAACTGCCCAGAGTAGACACGTTCTAGATGGGCAGTATATAAATCTAATAAATAAATAAATTGCATGGGCAAGAGGTTGGATAGTGGTGGACTTGCTTGAGACAACAGGCACTTTGATCTGTGTATCTTTTACTGTATTGTGCAATCCCCTAACCTTGGTCATGGAACTTCACGGGGTAACTAGAGGCTCCTTTCTTCCTATCAGAATGTGGCACAATTTAAGCAAGTTTACAGTGCTGTTATTATACATTGATAGGCTATATTTTGTGTTATGAAGTCAGAACTAACT